ATAAAAAATAAAGAAAGAAAGAAAGAAAGAAAGAAAGAAAGAAAGAAAGAAAGAAAGAAAGAAAGAAAGAAAGAAAGAAAGTGCCGGGGATTTAGCTCAGAGGTGCGGCCCTTGCCTGGCAAGTGCAAGGTCCTGGGTTTGATTTCCGGTGCCAAAAGTCAATAAGGTAATAAAATAATTTAACTCATTTAAAAGATCTGAGGGTGTAGCTTTTTGCAAAGGCTTTGGATTCAACCCCCAGTATTTCAAACATAAACAATAAACACTGAAAGTTCAACAATAAGAAAATAAACAAGCCAGTTTGAACATGAGCAAAAGACCCAACCAGACACTTCACCAAAGAAGATATACAGATGGGAAGAATATATGAAAAGATGTTCAATATCATAGATCATTAGGGAATTGCAAATGGAAACATCAAATACCACTACAAACCTATCAGAATGGCCCACATTTAAAATACTGACAACACCAAATGCTGGTGAGGATGTGGAACAAGAGGAATCTTATTGCTTGCTAATGGGGGTGCATGACAAAGAAAATCCACTTCTAGAAATGTATTCTGAAGAACCAAAGGAATCAGATGTACATAGAAAGTTATTTATTGCAGGGCTGGGGATTTAGCTCAGAGGCATGAGAGCCTGCCTGGCAAGCACAGGTCCTGAGTTCAATTCCTGGTACCAAAAAAAAAAAGTTATTTATTGCAATATTGTTCATAAAGCAAAACATTGGCAGCACCTTAAGTATCCAATGACAGCTGAGTTAAATTTAATTAAGTTATGAAATGTCAGAACATAAACCTGTAGATAAAATGTTACTACCAAGTTATCTTCCCATTTCCTGGTTATCATCAAATCTCTTTTTTTTTTTTTTTTGGCTTTTTGAGGCAGGGTCTCGCTGTGTCATTCAGGCTGGCCTTGAGCTCACTTTGTAGCCCAGGCTGGTCTCAAATTCACAACGATCCTCCTGCCTCAGCCTCCTGAGTGCTGGGATTACAGGCGGGCAGGCGCCACCACACCAGGCCAAATCTCTCTTTTTAAAAGAATTACTTAAAAATTTTTTTTCAGTATTGAAGGGTGAACCCAGGGCTTTGTGTATACTTGGCAAGCACTACTGGGCT